TATCACAGAAGAGCTGCGTTGAGTGGGGACACACAGAGCTCAACCACGCAAATTCTCTCTTTGTGAAGGAAGATTTTCATATCATGGAAAAAATAAATATTATAAGATTATATGTCTCTCGAAAGCTCAGAATTCTGTCTTTCGTGTCATGTCATTTTCATCAAAATCCATAAATTACTTACGACAAAGTTGCTTGAGATTTACCCTCTAATTCGTACGGTCTCACTTCGTTTGTCGCCATTTTTTTTTGACGGCCGATTTGTATCCCTAGTTTTAGCTCAATTCGCTTGAACGCCATTCGTCTTTGAGTTTTAAAAATCCACTGGTTGGAAAGAGCACATTTAAGGCTGATTTTAACATATTTTTTTGGCCGGGGGGGGGGGGGGGGGGGTACGTGCCCCCTGTGCCCCCCCCCCCCCCCCCCCCCCCCCCCCGCCCCCTGGATCTGCCACTGCCATACTTTCTATTGATGTGCCAAAATTCATTCCCCTACCATTAACGGTTTTCAATTTAGGCAGACTTGAAAACACACAAAAAAGCTTAAGGGTGCTTTAAAATATGAAGTTTTAAGAGTTTAGAGCCTTTTTCAAATGCCATTTAAAATTAATTTAAATGGATTTGATGGTCCAAACTTACAGAAATGATTAAGCTATATACGTACCCCAGATATGCCGAAATTCAGCCCCACTTCATAGACACTCTTAAATCTAGCCATGTTTCAAAACCCATGAAAACTTGTTCCGGCGACGCAAAAATAGCCATTTGTCACACGCATCAAAATGGGCTTCATTTAATTATTTGAAAAATTCCACAAAAAAAAATTTTGTCTAAAGAACCTGGAAAAAAATAGGCATGTAGAAATCCATACAGAGAACAGATTTCTTGAAAAGAAAGGTGATTCATCAATTAATTACAAAATTATGTCACCTTGAAAATGGCTAATTGCCAGTTATAGCCTAATTACTCAAAATTTGACCATTTCGTCTCTTATGTAAGTGGCCGTATTTTCAAAAGTACTTATTCAAATTTGACAAATGAGGTATCAAAACTCCTCTTTCCATGTGCTCTAAAATGAAATTGGCAGGGGAAATGAAATGAAGATACTTTCAAACTTTAGCTGTGATACCTACTTTCAGAGAATACAACAGACCCTGCCCTCAAAGACACCTTCAAAAAGAATTGTTTTCCTCCTGGTCATGGCATCAGGCTCTCCTTGTAAAACAAGATAGCATGCCACTTTGCATGTGTACCGTATACAGCCATTTTGGTATTCATCTGTTAATCCTATTAACCTGTTCACCTTGAGGTCTATATAATTAATCAGTTTCGGTATATCCTAGAATAACCTTGTTGATATTGATACCAGGGTCCTAATAGGATTAGCTCAATTACTTCTGGAGATTAATCCTATTACACAAGTACAGTTATGTACAGGTAGACCCTCTGGCATACCTTTTAAATGTAAGCTTGTATGTTTCCTAACATATATATGCGAGTGAGATTCTTTGCTCGCAGTGACGTCAGACCATTTGCACAAACGATTCTGACTTGAATGTGATTGGGTATTTTTGTTTCTTCAGACCGTAAGGTTTCCAAATTATAATATCCTTTAACTTGATGGACCTAACGAGCCAAAAGCTCTTTGGAAGCGAAGGGAGACGTTATATACATGTACATGTACATGTAATGTGATATGGGTTTTACAAGAACAGAATATTATTATTAGCGAGGAAAATTGACATACATGTACACTTTTTTACAAATTCCATATCTACTGTAAAACCATTAGAATAAGAGATATGAAACTTTTTACGAATTGCAAACATTTGATTCCATTGCATGTAAATCATGGCATGTTTCTTCTACCGATCCTTACGACTTGCAAAACTTCTGTAAAAATGTTTTGGTATTTTACCCCGTTTTGCAAATTTAGAAATAGTTAGTGTATAAATGCTTGTTTTCATTGTGTTGTAGTACGTGTTATGCCCTTTTATCTTGCGTGTGACCTGCTTTTCATCTACAAGTAGAAGTGCAATTGTCTTAAATGTCCAGGTAGAAATTGCAGTGACCATGACCATGAATGAATACACCTTGTTCAATATCCATGTACCGGTAGCTGTATGATTACATGTACATGTACATGTAGGCCTATGTCTTCAACTGTAATCCAAACTACCAGTTCTTTTATCGCCTATTATGCTGCAATGACTCAAGCTTCATCTTGTGACTCTCATTGTAAAGGGTCATGGACTCGTAGACATCACAAGTGGCAGTCTGGCAGATGTATCCAATATTCAAAATATATAACAATTCTTCACTAGATTTCAGCTGGCACACATGTTTCATGTACAATCAACCAGAACATATTGATGCCGAATTAGGCAACATGTAATATTTTAAGAGAGAAAACCTGTGAAATTATATTGCAAACACTTCTGAAATATGCCTACTTGCGCCTACTTGACCAGTGTAACTTGAAATGAATTAGTTTAATCTGTAGAAAGTTTGTTTAATTATGTGCAGTTCCCTTTTATCTTGCGTGTGACCTGCTTTTCATGTACAAGTAGAAGTGCAATTGTCTTAAAATGTCCAGGTAGAAATTGCAGTGACCATGGATGGATTCATCTTTTTCATTGTAAAACTGTAATCCAAACTACCAGTTCTTTGAGCACCCATCATCTCGTGACTATCATTGTATAGAAGGGTCACGGACTCTAGGCATCACAAGTGGCAGATGTATCGAAAATATCACAATTGTGAGATTACGTGACATTCAAGTCATTATGGTACATGCACATGTATATAATGACCCTATTACATACATGTACTTCCAGAGAACTTTTGAAATTGTACAGTAGGTGTTTTCATATAGTTTCTCTTTTCATGTACAGTATGGTATCCTCTTCATCAATGATACAGTAGTCAAGATTGAAGAATACCACTGATACCAGAAGTACATTGGAGATGCAGTCATTGTCTGCTGTCATGATGTCAATTTAGTAATGTCTCGTACGCTGCTCACTTTGCTCTGTACATGTGGATGTATGTCAGTTATTATTTAATTAGGATAAAAGAATCATGATGCTGCTCAAGAGCTTCAAAAGATTTCATGACCCATAACAAAGAAAACTAAAGACACAATTGAAAATCCAGGGGGTCAGCCAGCCAGGCTCAGCCTGGTGTACAACTACAAAGCTGTCAAACCTCAGATGGCACTCTTTAGGCTTCCCAGAGGCATTCGTTATTGATTTTTCATTCTCCCTATTCTTCTTGTATTTCCTGGTGGAGCAGCGCACTGCATGGGTGTCTTAGCACTTAGGTTTCTTCATCACCTGAAAGGAGTGATAACAAAAGATGCCATTGATCGTATTATTGATTACCATTGTGTGCAGCTGTAGGCTGTCATGCATTCATTGTTCCTTGGACAGGAGCCAACATAGATCTGATCAGGGAAGTACTACAGATCGGCTTCTGTTCTGATGATTAATTAACTTCATGTACAGTACATACATAGCCTTATTATAAATTCATTTATTGTGAGGACTACTTTGAAAATGAAAACTACAGGTACGTACATATTTGTTCAAAAATTGACATGTACGGTATTCATTACAAATCATTGTCAGATTTTTGTTTTAATGTGGCCTTTTCCATTTTCTTTTCTTTTTACTACACAGCAATGATTATTGAAATTAATGACTGATGCTCATAAACATATACATTGTAGCTCTTATGCATTATGAGAGTTGTTGGAATAAAAACCATACATCTGCTTATGACATGTACAATGTTCATTCGTATGTCAAATATCATTTCACCAACCTTGAACATTAGAAATAATTGCTTCATATTTTTTCCCAAAAGTGTTCTTTTATTTGATTTTAAAAAACAAGCAGACATATAGTCCATTGTAGGGTTAAAGTCCAAGGAGCACATTTGCCCATATTGAACCTTTGATTTATACATTTTATACCAAATGATAATAGATAAACAAAATAAAATACAGTGTACCTATGAATTGGAAGGAGGCCTATTAGAAGGTCAGTATGGTAAACAGCTAAGAACGCAAGTGATTGGTCATGTGTTTGTAAGTCATTGTTTTTTGTTTTTCTTTTATCTGAAATACTTGGTACTTTGCAGTACTTTTTTGTTTTTCTTTTATCTGAAATACTTAGTACTTTGCAGTAGTGACTAGTTGGAGGATCTATACCAGTATGTGTACTACAATCTTACAATGTATGAACAATTTATGGCCAACCGTTCCAGGTTTTGATAACATTTTAGTCTAATCCATACCGGTATTATATACTCCAAGAATGTAGCCTACTTGCCTAAATTTTATCATCTACAATTTCCAATAAAAGCGATTGCAGATGGAAAGAAACTACTTGCAACATTATTTCATGAGCTTTTAAAAAACTATTTTCAATTTTTTAATATAAAAAATGTAACACATTGTGTTGTACATGATGTTGTAGAATGCAGTACAACATGTTCAGTGTTTTGTGACATCTAGAAAATAAGGTTACTTACAACTTGTTTATGCCTACCGTACATGTAAATGGAATATGAATAATGGAATAGGTCATGTAAGAAGAGAAAAAAACATTTTCAGGCCGTTCTGTTTTGAGTGAAGCTCTAAATTAGTATTATCTTTCAAATGCCATTTGAATTTAAACTTTCCCTTTTTTGGCCTACAAATGTGACATATACAGTATGTACCTTTAAATGTGTATTTTATATTTTATTTTCAACTATATTTATAGAATGTAACCTCTTCCTGCTTCCTTGTATTTTGTTGACTTTTCCAGGCACTTATGAAAAATACAAACAACTTTTATGTCCCACAAATCAATTTTGTAATATATTACAAAAATAGCAGTGAAACCCCCCCCCCCCTCTCTCTGATCAATAAAAATCACTACACCCCTGCTTGCACAATGGAAGAGCCCATATATTTTTACTATTTTTCTGTTTCTGTCTGTTTCTCCCTGCTGCAGGCTTCTCAACTACTACACTGTACAGAGGGAGGGATGCTTCACTGATTGGCTGATTGCAAGGACTAGTGCTACCCCTCAACGTTGATCACACACACATGCAGACACAAGGCTTATGCACACACCGGAGTACTGTTATTGTGTGCTCGACACAGAGCTGAAGGGTACTACTACTAACGGAGCATCTAGCTAGCCGCTTGAATACATTACTAACTAGCTCTTCAGCGTAGCCGGGTATTTTTCCATGCAGTGACAGCCCGAGTCTTTGGCCATCTACACTGGCCTAGCTAGCAAGCGAGCAAGTAGGCTGTGGCTAATGTGGGACGGGTCATACTGTGCCTCTGCCTGAACACCTCCCCTGACGGAGGCTCGTTAGCAAGCCGCTAGACGTCACCACCCTCCTGTAGCTGTTGGAACCAGGACCACAACAAATGTTGAAATTTCTCAGCAGGACTGCCTACCAAACACTCCCTGGCCTCCGGGTGAGAAGCGGTATTTACATTTAGTCAAGCAATCAAGTCGGACCGATTGGAGTGCCTGGTTAAACACTCAGCGACACGGCCCATTCAGGCACTCGATTTCATCGCTACACCGTTCTCAACTCCTTCTCTGACAAACATCTGTACACATTTCTCTAGATGTAAAAACTTCAACATTTTCCTTCTGAAAGGATTTGTAGGATTACTCGCCACCGGCAGCAGCCATGGCTTCCGAATTTTTGAGACGATTGTTGAAGCGAGGGTCGGAGTCTTCGCAGAGACCCAAAGTCGATGTTCATGCTTTGTACACAAACTGCCAAATGAGTCGTATTTTGATGGAAGGGCAACTGTCCGTACACGAACCCTGGCGCAGGCACAAGAAGAAGCCAAAGAGTGTCCACATGGTGCTCTACACCAACGATTCTAGTCCGTTTCTTGTGTGGTACGGGGACAAGGCTAAGAAGAAGGCTCGTGGCTTCTGCACCATCCAAGGTGGGAAGATCGCGCCTATTGGAGAATACAGCTTTCAGATGGTGTTCAGTGGAAAGAATAATCAAGTGTACAAATACAACACGGAATGCTGGGAGACTCGAGAGGAGTGGTTGTATGCTCTGAGGGACGAGAGCAGACGTGAGACGGCCATGCCTGAACTCTCTAACGTGACGCCTTCCCTCATGCAGAGCAAGGACGACATCGCCATCACGCATCCAAGTCAACCTCATCGACCACCCTGGAAAGGACATCGTAGAACTCTTAGTGCGGGTTCACCTTCACCGCAGCTTGATCGTTGTCAGGTCTCGCTGCAACGGTCCAGAAGTCAACCCCACATTCAAAAAGGAAAATTGATCAGAAAGCGTGCAACTGTGTTGAACTCATCCAAACCCAAGACCACGGTAGGACAGTCAATCCAAGGACAGAAATACTTTGTGCGATCACCGGAAGTTTGTCGTAGCTGAGGCGCTTAACATTGTGGCAATGGATTTATCAAGGCATTCTTTACTTTCCAGTTATCAGCTGACAGCATTTTTTAAAGCAATTTTTGTTCACTGTTTTTGTTTTCATTTATTGCAAAGTTATATTTTGTTTATGATTTTATGATAAACACTCATGAAGAATGTGTGTACTGCAAAAAATTGCAATTTTGTTTTGGTAATTTTATTTGAAAGCAACAGATGCAATGCAGTTGTTGTGATTATTGTGCATGAGATGCCATGTTTGTTACAAATCTCATGGATCTTGCATGTTTATGTTTACAATTTAACAAGTTTCATTCCTTTTTTTATATTTTATATTTGCAAAATATGCAAACAATCACCCTTGTTGGCCTACACACACAGAATTAATATCAGTGTAATGAAAGAGTTACATATCGGAATGTTCCAGGAAAAAATTATTCCTAACAGCCCTGTGGTAAAGTTTTTTATTTTTTATGTTTTTTGTGAGGAAAGTAAAAAGTTTACCGTAATCAATAGTACTATAAGATACCGGCCATTTTGAGGACTTTTATTATTTAAGAGTTTGACTGTAGCTTAAGGAAACAAAAAAGAGACCAAAATTTTATATTTGTGTTACAATTTACAAGGTAATCCAGAAAAATGGTGCCTTATGTTGATACTTATTGGCATGTATACTCTCTCTAAAAATGATAGATTCATTAATCAGATTTTTTGTATAATTATTAATCTATATTTTATAAAAAGTATACCTTGAAATAGTGTATCTTACACTGTAGTGTAAATGATACATCATTCAATTTTTTATTATACCCATATATCTATTTACCCTGAAAGCAAGAAGAACAAAATATTTACTCAAAATACATTAGCAACTTATTGGCATGTAGAGAAAGAAATATATGAGAACAGTTGGAAAGTATGTCCTATTTTTCTCAAAATTTTGATTCATTTTAAGTTTCTAAAACTGATGAAAACAAACAGTACTGTTGGCTTGTAAACAGAAATTTCCCTACTTTAGTTCCTGTATGTTCCACATTAGTATATCAGTCTAATCTGTCACAGTTCTGAAAGTAATATTCTATTTTCAACTTCCCAGTTCCTATTTTTAGTTGATTTAAAAACAAATTATATTCTACCTGTCAAAATAGCTACCGTATATGACAAGCTATACTTGTATCTGCTATCAATTCTAATTGATCAGATATCCAATCTTTAAGGATCCCTTTTCCCAATCATCCACTTAAAAAGTGAAATTTTAACAGGGTTGTCATTGTACATGTGACTTCTACACATGAATTGACATGAGGCCTTTGCCTTGTTCTGTCAATGTGTTCTGATTATTTTTATACACATTTGTAGAAAAGTGTCCTCTATTTCCTTTGGCAATCTCTAGCCATTGATTGTAAGAAATGCACACACTTTAGCTGTAAACTTTGGAAAAAAGCGTCTGTGGTTTTGGAAATTAAGATGAGTCAAAGCTGCCGGATGCTAGGAATTGTTTTTACTGCATCAAGGTTCAGTAGAGACTAGAGAGGAAAAGATCCGAGGGTCCCCCTCCCCCTTTTCCCTTCCATCTCTAGGAAATTCTTACCCCATGGCCACAAATGAGTTGATATGGTTGTGATAAGATTCTTGGAATATAGATTGTTTTCAGTATCTACTTTGGATATGTCAATTTAATTTCAGTGGAAGTAAACATGTTAGAATGGCATGCCAACTCAATATTCATCCAAATTTTTCATTTTGTGGCAGATTTGCTCAAAATCATAAAAATCATCCCTGGAGTGCAATATGCATGAAAACAAAGCTACTGTATAGAGCTTGAAACATTGGATGCCTTTGATGTGTGCACGGTGTGTACACACGGAAAGCCTGCATTGTTATACCTCCCACTCTGCTACGGCAGGGGGCGGGTCTTGTTCTATGGAACTAAACAAAGAGCAGGAGAAATACAGCGTTCACTCTTGGCTAGAAAGGCCTGAAATTTATGGCACCGCATTCCTACATGTACATGTAGCCGCCATGGTTGTATGAATGTGCGCATTATCAACTTCCTTTTTTCATATCCAACTTATTTCAAGGTCATTTATATTTTTTTAATAAATAATCCAAGATCATGATGATCAGAAGCGTAACTAATAGACTACATAAAGATAAATCTGCTGTATTCTACTCTGTAGCTGCCTTCTCTGAAAGGAATAACAACTATTTTCATGTATGTTCATGTTTGAAAGCAAATATCGATACCGCTGCGTCTGTACTGATGTGCATCCTAAAGAAAAGTTAGAGAAAAGCCTGACAGTGGATGGCACATGTGCACAATGTTTCATCTGTAGCAAGTCCCTGTCTAGTACTCAAATTTTGGCACGACTCCATCAAAAATAAGTCATGTGCTCCAACTGTGCTTGCACGTATGTTTTGCTCTGCAACAACCTGCAGTAATTTTAGCAGACCATATTCATTGTATGCAAATAGAATGTTCTGCAGTGTGTCTGACAGTGTGTTCTTGCACTTGAAAATCGTCAACGAGGTTGTTCATCACCCAATGTTATTTCAGGTTTCCCGCCTTCTTTACAGCTAATGATGATCATAAATCTGTTTCAAGTAATTACAATTCTCGTGAGAATTTCCTCCTTGTATTTATGGAGAAGATGTTGTTGGCTCTCGTTCAAATCACAACGTAATTGAATAGCAGTGTGAACAATACTGTATGCCTCTGGGGTCAGATGAGGCATATGACTTTCCCAGACAAACTTCCAACAGAGCTTGTTTGTTACAGGTACCCCTCCCTCCCCCATCTCTTCTGTACAGGAGACATGACAGATCTCTGAAGTTGAAACATGAATGTTCATGTTGTGTAAGGGAAAGGAGATCTAAATTTAGACTCTAGACCGGCAAGAGGTTAGAGGCTTATCATTTCCGCTCTTATCGGCAAAGATTCAAATTGAAATGGGCATTTTGACATGTTCTTGCTGGCAGTGGCATACAAACGGTTTACAATGTACTTGGGGAATGCAATATTGCTCTATGGAAAATGTATGTTCTTTCTCTTTCTCTTGGAGTTCATTTTAATATTGACATGATAACCAAGTGAAACCCCCTGACCAAAATTGTTTAGCAATGATAGATTTAAAAAAACATTGGTGTGAAAGGGTCACTTTATAAAATACCCTTTAGCCTTCCTATTTATTCTATCATCAGTTACATACAAAAGAGTACATGATTCAAGTCAAATACAATTTGTATTGTGGATTACTTGTTAGGTTCTTCTTTTGCAGTATTCCTTTCAGTGATCTTCTATTAGGCCTCATGTTTGTGCAGCACGTTCATCTAATCATTGCATTTGAGCACCTACATGCAGGTCTTGTCCCAGTCAGGAAGACAAGCTCTCTCTCCCGAGTGTGGATTTAATTCTATTTCCAGGCATTCAGTACCTAAAATATCAGGCCTGGTTGCGCCTTCCATTCTTCATCTTAGCGTCTCTAATCCTATCCAATTGTAATCTAATATTGAGTCTCGCTGCTTGGAGAGGAGGAGGCGGTGTGGCTGGTTTCTTTTACTCGTTCTTTTGAATTTCATGTGGGAACTTCCCAGAGCTGTGGCAACTGTCTTTATCCCACGTTCTGGTAGTTGGCAAGCAAATGGGAATGGATGCGCCATGTTGCTATGTTGCCGACTGGCGCTAGGTTAACCGCACAGGGAAGTGAGACAGGATGGAAATGGCAGATTTAGTGGCAACCTAGGCCAAAGTGAGATCACAAAATGCAGTTTCCTTCACTGATTAGGAGCGGCTCATGGCTCTTTCCTCTCCTTTCCTCTCCCTCCCCCTCTCTCTCTCTCTCTCTCTTTCTCTCTTCGTCTCTCTCTTCCTCTCTGTCTGTCTCTGCCGTTTCTCCTACACATATCCTGATTTATTAGTGTGTCTCTCAGAAACAGGTCACATATGACCTTGTTTGGAGGGGCTTTCAACGTTGTGCACAACCCCACTCAACATTCAGGTCACGTTGCATAAAGCAATACCCACCATGTATTAACTGTTCATCCAGTCTGCGCAATTTTAAAGCAAGAAAATCATTGATCATCTCTAGACAAGAAAGTGGGAACAGTCGTAATTGGTTGCAACATTCGTTCCAGAGCAGTGCTGAATTACAGACTAATTTGCAGATAGCAAATATACATATCTTTGTGCACGTAAACTAACAGCATAAGTTCCTTATTATCAGGATTATGCTAGGATGTAATGAGTATTTCCGTGCCACTTTGAAGCATTGTATTTGTAATTACTCTGGAAGTTTTCCACCAGGAAATGCTGTCAATCAATTAGTTAGTTTCCTAATGTAGCTCACTTTGTACCGCTGGATTTAAAAAAAAGGTTGAATGGGAACGATATGTTAAATTGAAGCTGGCAAGCCCCAAATGCGAGGATTAAGGATTAATTTTGAAATACTTGCAGTTGCAGCATATGCTGGGGCTAGATGTTTAGAATTGTGGAGATTTAGGATTCCCATGGAAGGTTCATGCAAGGGGCTAAATGGGCATGATGATGATGGTTTGTTTTGTGCTGTTAACTAGCAATGCATGCTTGAACTCTCGTTTCCGATCCACTTCAAATCATCCTAATGACGTTGTTAGTCACAGGAGCCATGCTAAACAATTAAAATTCTTGACCCTTGTCGTGATCTTTTAGAAAATCATGTGAAATACAGAGGCTGTGTATTGTGCAGTGATTGAAAACTTAACGATCTGTGACTTTCAAATTGACTGGACTGCAGACCCACGCGAATGACTCAAATGAGTGGGAGAGATGGGAGATAATCTGCATAGTCTGCATACTGCACAGGCTTAATCAAGATTGTGTTGGATAAGAAACTAAGTGCCCACCAGATCCAGCTTCAAGTTTTATTCAGGGCCTACAAGTCTGGTGATCTTTCATTAATAGAATGCATTAGCCTGCTCTGCCGTATGCCTATAATATCAGACTCGTTTAAGACACACTGTATCGATACTTGCTTTCTTACATGAACACACATAGATTTGCGGCTTTTTGCGCTTTAATGTCTATTAGTGAATGAATGTACAAGAAGTACCACTGAAGAAACTTCTGAATTATATCTTAGCAAGTTAAGTGGATTATTTCTGGTGATTTACAGCATTGCATTCTTTAAAACTAGGATTACGGTAGTCATAATGTCTTCACGATACTGAAAACATGTACACTGTTATATCTTGCCTCTATAACTATAGTATAACCGATAATTCTCAATCATATTCGTTGTTTATGTTTACGTACTGAATTTCATTTATAACCCTATGGTGGCCATATTTTTCTGATATTTGTCATTTATCACTGAGAGTGAAGGGTAAAAAATGTGCCATTTTCATAATTCCAATCTTTGAAATTTGCAAACTTTTTTTTTCTTTCTGGGGGGGGGGGGGGGGGGGGGAGTGTCCAATTTGTAAAACCATATATCAGGGTTCCACATTAATTTTTTGTAAGGGGGTATGAATCGAATGTGTTTACAGTCTGTATGCATGTGTACTATGGAAAAACTTACCATTTTTTTTTTGGGGGGGGGGGGGGGGTCCTGACTTAAATTTTGGGCACCCATGTGTCCCGGGTTGCTTGTAGTGTCAATTTAATCTACATTAGATTTAATCCGAATTAATAATGTGTGTCATTCTCATTTGAGTTTCTCAATTGTAAATCAATGGTTGCTTTCTTTGGGATGGAACCTTTATGGTGGAACTCAAAGATGATCTTGGCATATGAAGGGTTAATGATATCACCTGTTCAGTGACCCATTCCCATTTGGTTTTCCCATTACAGCCAACAAAGGTTCCTTTCATTCCAGTAAGCGAGTTCTAATGCATGCCTCTGTTCACGTTGTTCCCTTTGAGTTTTCAAAGAGGAATGGGAACAAGTGCCACGTGTGAAAGGGGTTCATGACCCCCTTCTCACTTGCCATCCTGACCTCTTTCCATTTTGTAGAACAATTTTCCACTCATACTTTTTTGGAGATTGCTTTATTTTTCAGTCTCCATTATGAACAAACAAATCACAAAATCTTGCCAAATGTTATATTGTTTTTTCGTTAGAAATGGCTTTTCTTTGATTTTGTGGATTTATTAAGTTGTGACAGTTGTCTAGCTTGTTGAGATACTCGGAGGGGATTGTATAAATTTGACACGTTCACACTTGTACGTCTAACATCACACCCAGCCACCCATTGCTTCATGATGCCTAAACTCTCCCGTAGGTCCATGCATAAACAGAAAGTTGAGTTTATTCTGAATTTCATGTGGTTGTTCAGTTTGAATATTCTGTTTAAACTGGGTCTGTGAATATTGTTAACAGCATATCAATTATACACGAATGTGCAATGAAGGAGCATTTCATCACATAGGATGTATGCAACCCTTTTCCAAGAAAATGTTCTACACGATTAGGAAGTGGGAAATGGGCCGTAACGCAGGGATGTAATAACGTACGCCTGGGAGAGAGACGTGTGAAATGAAAACAGGTGCAGTCTTTTGCCGCCTCTCCTTCTGAGTATTTCAACAAGGCATCAGACACGAGGTAGAGAGATTGAAGTAGACTTTAATTAATATGCGTGCGTTGCATCAGTGTTGTAGCAATCAATCTAGAGAGGCCATCTTTCCATCTTTCTCTCTCTATCTCTCGTTCCCTCTCTCCACCTTTCTTCCCCCTCTTCTTCTTTTTATTAATCATAATACGGCAAGTCTCTGTTAACCCTGCCTCTTTCACATCACGATCTACAAAAATTGACACGCAGCATTTGAAGGGGTGCACTCATGCAATGTAGAAATAAAGAGTTGATATTATTATTCCTTTCATTTGATGTGAAAGAAATCTGCATTGTGAGACTGCCATTTAAGCGAAATAATATCTATTATTATCTATCTTTATATATCATCATTTATCTTTAAATGAAATCTGCCCATATCAATTCAGATTGCCTATTGCCAATTATGCATCCCTATGCTTAGATATTATTATCTTAAGTTGATGTTGCATTCTGAAATACACTGTATGTATCAGCCATTATTTATTTTGAGGAAGTAAATATGTTATATATACACATACTTTCATTTAATGATTAGTGAAAGCTGCAAAGTGCTTTGAAATTGCATTTATATCCCATTTTGATTTTTTGCATTGTAAGTGTAAAATGCCCCATTAAACATGTATAGAACTGCTGATAGCCTTTTTCAAACTCCATTCAAGAAATCCTGAAAGAAAAACATTTTATTTTTTGTTGACATTTCACCCCTTTTATCTTTTAAGATTATAACTTGACGTATTAGTGTTTCCTAACATATCACTTTTCTTACATTATTTCCATCTCTTACAATCTTTCAAATTCTTTTGATGACAGTTTTGTTATAACCATATTGCTGACTTTGATAGGAAAATTATATCAGTATTACAACATTCAAGCTTCCCACGTTTTATTTTGAACAGTATTAAGAAAACATTATTATCAAGGTGGTGATTATAGGCATCAAGTTTGAATTTTGAAAGCATTTTTATGTTTTGTAATTCATCCTAAATCATTTATACACCATTTATATCCCATTCTGGTATAGGAGAAGAGGCTTTGGAAATCAATTAAAATAAGTTTTTCATTCTTTCTTATTAAACCATATATAGGACCAATATAAGTTTATTAGTAGTTTAAGACCATTGTTACCATACTGTGTTAATTTTCATGATCATCATCATTATCGTTAATTAGTATTTTGTTTACTATTGATTGAATCATAATAATATGTAGTTTGACTTCGTAATAAGTCTTCTCTGAACAAAGGATGAACGTAATCATCTACCACTACAATGTAATAATAGATGACACAGTATTTACTGTTTACAATTACTCTAAAATAAGCCATCAATAAAGTACTATCATTAATTCATAGGGAAGACAACCCTATCAGTAATATAATTAAATTTTGAGAAAGTATGTCCATGTTACATGTATGTTAACAGGATGTGCGTGTTTAAAGTACTAATTGTATTGACTGAGGAAAACATTTGTAAGGACGAAGCAATCGTAGGCTTATATTAAACCCATAAGCTCAGTATGTGATATAAAATTCAGTATTTATCCTATTTCTGTTCTCTTTTCGAGAGACAGTAAAGTAAATGATAATCCATCTATAAATCAGCATTTTAATCAATTTGAAATTCAATTTAAAGCATATTATCAATCAATTATTTTGTATTTCTCACCCATTTTGGTCAGTATGTATTTGCATTCATTATGAGGCATGAGGTGCTTGCCATTACGTTTTGTTTACTTTATATTACCAATGTGAATATTTTCAACAAAAAATATAAATATATATATATATTTCAGTACATGTACAGAATGTATCATAAATATAAATACAAAAACAACAAAAATGTATTATTGTTCCACCATGTAATGTGTTATGTACTGGAACCGATATGTAATGTGTACAACATGAACTTGTATGAATGAATTAAAATATGAAAGAAAAAATGTTAATCCCAATATGTTATTGTGTATTTAATGCCAGAGTCAAGTATTTCATCAATTTATTGATTGATTGAAGCCTTTTTTTTTTTAAACATCTGGTTGGAACATCTGGGGATTGAACAACAAAGCTATTCTTTATCTGCTTCATTTAAAGCACAACAAGTTACTAGCTATCAGTGAAGGATGCCAACAATAAGGTAGACAATTTATGACAACATCTGCATGTCATAGTAAACAAAAAATGTGAAATGATATATGAGAGGCTTATGAGTGAGAGGGAGGGAGCCAAGGCATATAGGGAAGGAAAGGGAGGGATATATACTAGAGAGAGAGAGAGAGAGACCGACCGACTGACATACAGAGGTGGAGAGGGAGAGACAGACATACACACAAACGCAGAAAAAGGGGGAGGGGAGTGAGATTTAACAATAAATCACAAGTTAGGCCAACTTAATTCTGATTGATAAGTTTCCTTAATTGCTTCTGACTCTCTTCATCTTCATCCTTATCCCATTATCCCTTTAGCAATTCTGAAAAACAACATTGTCAATTCCAGAGGGATCATGGAAATTGAAATGAAATTCACAGACTGATTCAAATTTCATTTATTAGATTACCAATAAGCTCGGTTGAATGAGACAAACCTGAAGATGAACAAAAGTGATTTGTAATGTGAAATCGTTTACGCAAATGAATTCATTTAACAAAAAAAAAATATGGTTGAGCAATACAGTCATGAGTAATCTATTTATTATTGATACATTTGATGAGTAAATAAGAATGCGAGAGAAAGGTGTAGAAAAAAATAGAGCGAGAGAAGGGGAGAGAGAAAAAGAGAGAGAGAGAGACATACAGAGACGGAGAGGGAGAGAACAAACACAGCAATCTATCTATTATTGATACATTTGAGAGAGAGAGAGAGAGAGAGAGAGGGGGAGAGAGAGAGAGAGAGAGAGAGAGAAAGAGATTGTGGGGAGTAGGGGCGGAGAGTACGTGCAGATTTCCGAGAAAAAAAAATCAAATGACATGTTTAGCTCATCTTCCAAATCTTCTCAAATTCACTTCTAAATGGAAGCGGGGGAACATAAAGTGCATCAGATTCAGAAGTTATACAAATATCAATATTAGGGCATGAATTTTCATAAGCCTTTGCCTACTAGCGCACGAGATGGGTCATACTTTTAGACTCGACCCCTCGTTTAATTGGACTTCATCGCAGATGCAATTTCCTTAAATTTCCTTCAAATGCTTTTAGCGTAATAGGATGAAGACGGTGTATTGTCTGTACCCGAAGGCGGGTGTCATGGTATGGGAGGAAGAGAGTGGAGGGGTGAGTGAGTGAGTGAGAGAGAGAGAGAGAGAGAGAGAGAGAGAGAGAGAGAAAGAGAGAGAGAGAGAGAGAGAGAGAGAGAGAGAGAGAGAGAGACGGGGGTGAGAGGGGTTATGGACATAACTCATTATAATTATGACGCAATATCCATAATTGACTATCAATGTCAGGCAGAAATTATTTAAATGAGGAGCAAATGCAGGAAGAAAAACAACCTGAATTAGACAAGTAAATAAAGTGTGTAAAGCAAACCAGATTATTGTCAAAAACTTAGAATCTATTAAAATTATCTACTATACCTCACTTCATAGGCTCAGTACAACGTCAAAGTAAAATATATTTGTTTAAATTCTTATGGGCTTTTAGGTGTTGCGATGAACATGGTCTAGTGGTTATTTTTTACCCGAATGTGAAAAAGTTCAAGTTTGAAACGTAGTTGCGACGATCTACTTTTGCCACTCTCTACCCGGGTGGTTTAGACAGGTAGGAAGAGATCCTTTATAAGTCGTTTGCAGAAGACAAAGCATGGTGATAATATCGAGTCTATCATGGATACAATTATGATTAGTATTGTTACCATTATCATCAATTTAAAAAGAGACAAAATTATTATAGATTTCAATTGATACGAACATTATTTGCTTTATCGCATGAAGCCAACATTTCAGTTTCATGTATATAAATGGCTCGATAATGAACTGAAAATCAAACAAAATACTTGCCCTTATATCCTTACATAAAAATACAGGATCGAATACACAACTCTTTTCGGCATTTCATAATTGAGTCTCCTTCATTATTTTATCGAACTGGCATGCACCACAGATAAAATTAACCCGTCTCAAATAAAATTTAAAGAGCATCTACCTCAATCGCAAAAAAATTGCCCAAGCTACGATTACAAGCAAAACAAACATATAATATTTGTCCTTGCCTCGTATATGATTTATGACCTTCATCTCATAGATTTACGGAATATGGGAGCTCATTTTGAAATAAGCTACTCCAGAGAAAGATGTTTTGTTTATCCCAGCAAAATTGTGTATCGAATTGTCTGGTTATTGGGACAAATGATAGAATTGGTTCAAAATGACAGTTTGAAAATTGGACTACTGTTAGGGATTTACTAGAAAAAATACAGACTTACGGCAAAGAGCAAGGTACACGCAATTGCAGTTAGTGTATGCCAGAATATTTGTATGGACAAAATCAGCGTTTGGGAGCTCGGTATATTCATTATCTCTCGTAGCTCCATGGTATGCAGAACAGAGTGTATGTTTAATGAACCAGATTAAAAGGATAGAAGTGGATTATAATAGAACGAAGGAGAGATGCAGCATATTAATGAGATAGACAAACTGGCAAATTAGGATGGCAGAAAGGTAGTCAAAGAAGGGAGAGTGTTTGAGTAAGAGTGAGAGAGAGAGAGAGAGAGAGAGAGAGAGAGAGAGAGAGAGAGAGAGAGAGAGAGAGAGAGAGAGACTAATACTATAACAGAAGGGGTAGAGAGAAAATGATAGAGAAATATATAGAGAAACTGGGAGAGAGAGGGGGAGAGGGAGGGAGGTTGGGGAGGGGAGGGAGGTTGGGGGAGGGGAGAGAGAAAGAAAGAGAGAGAGATATATATATATATATATAGAGAGAGAGAGAGAGAGAGAGAGAGAGAGAGAGAGAGAGAAAGAGAAAGGAGGGGGGGGGGGTTGGAAATATATAATGAACAAAGTTCAATTCCATTCTGTAAATCACATCAAATTTCTCCTTTTCTACCGAGCCCAGATACGAAATGAGAAAGTATTACATATGAGAAACCTGTTTTATCATCTCCCTGTTCGCCTCATTACCTCAATTCATCCCATCGCTCCTCACATTTCATTTAACACGTTTGGCATTTCATACAAAAATGACTGCTCCTGAAAATGCATCAGCCTCTCAATTTCACAACTTTTTTTCTGAAGAGATTTCGCTTGATTTTTCCTTGAAAAAAAAAAAACAGCGGCGAATATTACAAACCAGAGAAAATTTGAGCATGTAATGACATTGACATTTACAGGCATGATCACACAGACTCAAGCTTTTGTGGTATTCTCTGTTTTTTCTTTTCTTCTTGTTTTCTTGCTTATCTGTCCTGTAGAGTAAAAAATCTCTAGCTCGAGGATTGCTGGTCTTGTCAGAGTTTGATAGAAATCATATTTGTTTGATATCACGATCGGTAAAGGGAATTATTGCACGGTTTCTTTAATAATGTTCGTATCGCTTCACGTCTTCTTAAATAAACTTAAAATATAACATGAGAAAATAAAATGATGACACGGAACAACAGTCAATGCCGAAAATCAGTATGACGAACGAAATGGTAATGATATGAAGAATGAAGAAGTGCATCGGTGGTTTCGTAAACATCATGGTCATTGTCATCACTATCATCATCATTATCATTACCAGCAACAGCGGCAGCAGTATTGCTAATGCAATCATAATTATTATCATTATCATCATCATTTTAGATGTCTTCATTATCATCATCATTACCATCATCATCATCATCAATATTTTATTCTTTTTCCTAGTCTTCATTCTAAAATTATATATATATTTAATGTAAGATGCTCTCTGGAATGGTTCGCTGTGAACACTCATTCATATAAGATGACCACAGTCCACGATGTCCATCGAACACTCACAAACCCGGAGGACTCTATCCCTCATTGCATCCTCCATCCTCATACCCATTCATCATTTTAATTATTCATTTATTCTTCAATCAGCCCTGAGTCACCTATTATTTATTCGTTAAAGCTTCTGATTTGAAAGCAGCTATTTATGAACCATAAAGGTCGCGTTAAAATATCGGACGTACCGACTGTGACGTGTGAGTGAGTCAATGTGAGTCAATTGGGTTGGTCAATTTGGTCAATTGATGATGTTCGTGATGTTGGTGGTGGTGGTGGTGGTGATGGTGGTGATGGTGATGGTGATGCTGGTGATGGTGATATTGGTGACGGTGATGTTGGTGGTGGTGGTGGTGGTGGTGGTGATGGTGATGGTGGTGATGGTGATGGTGGTGATGATGATGGTGGTGCTGGTGATGGTGATGCTGTTGGTGGTGGTCGTAGTGATGATGGTGATCTGGGTGATAGGGATGGTGATGATGGTGGTGATGATGTTGGTGATAGTGATGGTGATGATGATGATGGCGGTGATGTTGATGGTGGTGCTGTTAAAGGTGATGCTGTTGGTGGTGGTGATGGAGATGGTAATGGTTGTGATGATGGTGATGATGATGGTGATGGTGGTGGTGATGGTGATGTGATGATGATGGTATTGGTGTTGCTGGTGCTGGTGATGGTGATGTTGGTGACGGTGATGTTGGTGGTGGTGGTGGTGGTGGTGGTGATGGTGATGGTGGTGATGGTGATGGTGGTGATGATGATGGTGGTGCTGGTGATGGTGATGCTGTTGGTGGTGGTCGTAGTGATGATGGTGATCTGGGTGATAGGGATGGTGATGGAGATGGTGATGGTTGTGATGATGGTGATGATGATGGTGATGGTGGTGGTGATGGTGGTGGTGATGGTGTTGATGATGGTGGTGATGTTGATGGTGATGATGATGGTGATGTGATGATGATGATATTGGTGGTGATGATGTTGGTGATAGTGATGGTGATGTGATGATGATG